GAGAGAGAGAGAGAGAGAGAGAGAGAGAGAAACATTCTGGGATTGGACCTGTAACTGAGGTATGTGCGTTTGTTGGGGTCCAATCCCAGCAGGTCCAGGGGTTCCCAAAGGTGGGGACGGAGTCGGCGAAGAAGGAATGATACGGAGACAGCGTTCAGTTGATCTGCAGCCTAGCTAGATTCTCTAGCCAGCATCTCCAGCCAAGTTCTCTTACCCCAAGTTTTTAAGAAAAATTAAGATAATAGGGAAAGTGCCCCTTGTTTGTATTGTGGCATTATTTGCCCACTGGAATCACAGCTGTGCCTCCTATTTTGAGGACTACAAGCCCAAGCTATGTATCATTGCGAATATGTTCTCCCATTAGTGGGTTGTCTTTTCATTTTGTGGATGGTTTCCTTTACTGTGCAAATTAACCCATTTTTTGGTTTGTTTGCTTTTAGGATCTGTTTTTTAAACTTTGATCCTTCTGGACTTGGCCTGGTTTTTCTATATTCTTTCTAATTATAGGAATTTGAATTAAGAAATTGACATATGAATTAACAATATTAGTATTTGCTATAATATAAGGCAAGTTACTAACATGGAATTCCTTTTGACTTTTGCGATTGTCTTCATTATGTCCAGAGAAAATATAATAAATTCCATTTTTTTTAATAGGGTGTATGAAGCCCATCTTTTTTTGCACCCTGCCTATTTCTTCAGCCTTTCTATCTGCATGCCTTCTCATCCCTCACTTTATGCAGCACAGGAATTCACCTAGTTCACCTTGATCTTCATTGCCTTGGAGATTTATATATAACTAGAGGCCTGGCCCACGAAATTTGTGCACTGGTACTGTCCCTAGGCCTGGCCTGCGATCAGGGCCATCTTCCCCAGCTACCTGCAGCTGGCCCCGCCCCCCACCACCACGCACCCCTGGTTCCCTGTTCGCCATCGGGTGATCGGTGTCAAACGGCTGGGGGAAGGGACCCGAGAGGTCAGCTGTTCCTGCCCGCTTGCTGGCCCTGCCCCCGCCACGGGTGGCCATCAGGCGATCGGAGCCTGCTGGCCGGGGAAAGGGGCCAAGAGGTGGTCAGTGCGCCTCATAGTGACTGGTCCAGTGGTCGTTCTGCCCTTAGGGTCAATTTTCATATTACCCTTTTATTATATAGGATGTGCCTTCTCCCTGGCACCTCTGTTCCCCTCTCCTCCATCTGGAAGCTCCTATTCATTACTATGTTAATGTCAGTAGTAAATAAGGGAGAATGAAAAAGTTGGAGCAAACACAAAATTTAGTTCACACAGGCGTTCTTTACTAGGGGATCCATTTTTAAGGAAAAGCTGCTATGAGTTTTTTAATAAAACTAATTTTTAAAAAATAAGCATTGCTAATTTTTCTGATTTTAAAAGTCAAACATGATGCTTGAAATGGTTTTGACCTTATTTAATGAAGTCCAAAATGTATCCCCTTTGTAATTGAATTTGACTCATGTCTAGGTCTAAGTATATATTTGGTTTTTTAATTTCCTTTATTATACTTTTGTATAGTAAAGAGGAGGAGCATTTACTGCCTCTTCCTCATAGCAAGGTTTTCTTTCATTCTTTTTCCTTAGGACTCATACTCGTATGTAAGATCCACGGCTCCTGCTGTAGCTTACGATAGTAAGCAGTACTACCAACAACCAACAGCAACTGCTGCTGCTGTAGCTGCCGCTGCCCAGCCTCAGCCTTCTGTTGCTGAAACCTACTATCAGACAGGTGGGTTTTATTAACTTTCACAGTTTCATTGTACACTATTGAAATATATTACTTAGCGTCTTTTTAATGAAGTTAATCTAAACTGATTGTGTTATATTACACGGTGTAACAGGTTCTAGCCATGTCTTTCTCTTCCTCTGCTAGAATGCCTTTGAGTCCCAAAGAGAAGGCCATGGAAGCAATTCATAATCATGCCCTTCTCTTCTGGTCTTCAGCTTACAGTTCACTTCCTGCTGAAATAAGCTTTACAAAAGAGGTTGTGGTGGTACCTTCTGGCCACCTTCTTGTCTTTGCCAGAAATGCCCAGGACATGCTGCTGACTGCCTTTGTAACCAGTAGAGACTCTTTGTGGGCCCATATCTTTAAATCCTCTTTCCCTGATCTGTAATGGCAGTTGATTCTGTAACGAGCCACGGATAATACAGTGGGCTCAAATGCAGGCGGTGTTTCGTTTGCAAAGAACCCTATATACTAGGAGTCTTTAAAAGATGGATTTTTTCATAGAGATTTCACAATTTTCTTTTAAAAAAAATTCTTACCCAAAGATAAGTTTTTATTGATTTTTTTAGACAGAGAAACATTGGTCAGCCGCTTCCTGCATGTGCCCGACTAGGGATCGATCCCGTCATCATTTAGGTGTACAGGACAATGCTTCAACCAACCGAGCCACCTGTCCAGGGCGAGATTTAACAACTTTTATTTTTATTTATTTATTTTTTAAAATATATTTTATTGATTTCTTACAAAGAAGAAGGGAGAGGGATAGAGAGTTAGAAACATCGATGAGAGAGAAACATCGATCAGCTGCCTCCTGCACACTCCCTACTGGGTATGTGCCTGCAACCAAGGTACATGCCCTTGACTGGAATCGAACCTGGGACCCTTGAGTCTGCAGGCCGACGCTCTATCCATTGAGCTAAACCGGTTAGGGCAGAGATTTGACAACTTTTAAAACAAAGCTCTCTGGGCTTTGGAAAGTAGGCAGCTCCTTTACTTTCATTATTTTTGAAGGAGCATGAGAGTGTGGGTGGAGTCTTGGATAGGAAAGAGTAGAATTGGCTTACCACTATATGTTGTCTTATTTGTAAATGAGGTAGTGGACCTGTATCTCTCTAGGGTACTTCTAATTCTAAGATGTTAGGTGTTTTTAAAAGTGGTTTAAAAAGATTTTGAATTAAAATGACCCTGAATTTTCTTATAGTCTCATCTCTGATTTGCAGGTACAGCAGTCTATTGTGAATTTCCTGGTTAATTATCAAAATTAGATTGTGCTTAAAAGTATTGAGTTGTCTGAGAGTCAAAAGACCTTGATTTAGTGTAAGTGCTGACATTAACTACACAGTTTTAGTTTTCTAAACTCTTGCCCTGGACGGTATGGCTCAATTGATTGGAGTGTCATCCTGACACCAAAGATGGTGGATTTGATTCCTGATCAGGGCACATACCCAGGTTACAGGTTCCATCTCTAGTCGGGGTGCATGTGGGAGGCAGCCAATCGATGCTTGCGTGCTCTTTCTCTTGCTCTCTCTCGCTCGCTCTCTCTGTCTCTCTTTCCCCCTTCCTCTCTCTAGAAAAAAAGTTTTATGCTCTTAGGTGCTATTTACTTAAGCTACCTTTTGGTAATTGAGCATAAAATGAGTTTGCCCCGGTGGTATTTGGGCTTTCTTAGAAATGACATTTGTATGCTTTGGTGATCATTAATTAGTGACTAATTATTAAATTATTGATTAGTACTAAAGCTCATAAGATTTGTTTTGAATATGGTCAAAGGCAGCAGAAAGTTTAGCAGAGACATTAGTGGTAGCCATTTAAGAGTAGCTGCACTCAAGCTATTGCATTGGAAGAATGGTTAGCACCTTGTGAGTTGGAATTATGGAAAAGTCAATAAAGTGTGATGGCTGATATATAAACAAGTCCCACATAATTAAACATTGAAATTTTTACTGTGAATTGAAATATGTACTTTGAGGTCCTCTCTCTTCTGTTCCCAGTATTAAGCCTAACTTTCAAGTAGGCTAGCCTAAAAACACACACGTTTTTCAAAAACTTTATTTATTAATACCTGTTTTAAGTAGTACTGCTATTTCAGTTAGTTGTAAATTTTTACAAAATATTATTTTGGAAATATATGGAAAGCATCTGGGATGGGATAGTAATTTATATAGATGTTATATTTTGTTCAATTGGTAATAAGAATTTCACCCCTTTTGCCAAGAAGAAATTACTGGCATCTAATTTACAGTTAACATTTAACCTACTTTCTCTAGTTTTCCAAGATGTTGGTATAGTAACTACAGGCATACCTTGGAGATACTGTGGGTTTGGCTCCAGACCACCATAGTAAGTTGAATATTATAAGTGGTTTACCCTTCTAATTTTCTGATATCTCTTTTTTAATTTAGCCCCCAAAGCAGGTTATAGCCAAGGTGCAACTCAGTATACACAAGCCCAGCAAACTCGACAAGTGACAGCCATAAAACCAGCGACACCGAGTCCAGCTACCACTACTTTCTCCATTTATCCTGTATCTTCCACCGTACAGCCAGTAGCAGCTGCAGCTACTGTGGTGCCATCCTACACCCAGAGTGCTACTTACAGTACCACGGCAGTCACTTATTCTGGTAAGCTGATAAAAAGTGTTTAAATAAATCAAGAAACTAGAAAGACTTTCTAAGTTGTATGGTTTGCTTGTGTGTTTGTTTTTTTTAAAGCCAGGAAGATTTTAGCAGGACATTAATGCTCTTTGGACATTTGAAAGCTAGTCATGAGTCCTGGGCCTAGCATTGCAATTAGAAAAAATAACAGTATTCTACTAGTAGTATTCTATTCTCTTTCTGACTTTTCCAAATGAGTTTGAAAAGTTAAAGGAATATTGCTGACAAGTTATATTCTTTATTTCAGCCCCCAAGGAGCTAGTATTTCATATTTATTATCAGGAAGAAGTAATCTTGACAATACTGGTTAACACTTGTAAACATTCATAAGATAATGGTTATATAACACACCTCAGAAGGACAGAGTAGTTTCATTTTCCTTAAATAATCATATATTTTTCTTAGAGAACTATAATTACTGAAACCTTGCTATGTCTAGTGCTCTTGCTAATTTGTGGCTGAGGTAACCTCAGTATTTGAGTAATTAAGGTCACACATTACTTTTTTGTAGACACTTAATCTTCTGGTACTACTGTATGGTTTATTGTTTTGCATTTTATTTATTCCTTAATACCCTATTTTGTTCTGTAGAGGATTTAAGGTGACATTGGTAATTTCAGTTCTTACCTCTTGATACTTTGTGTTAGAATCCTAGCTACTGAATTAACTATTTAATTTCTTAAGAGATTTTTTTGGTCTCTTACTCTATGCCAAATGCTATGTTGGTAGGGATGCAGTGGGAATTAGGCAGGCGTAGAGTATTGCGGAATGAGAGTTCAGTGTGCCTGGAACACAGGATATATGGGATAATACCAGGAGAAGAGGCTGGAAATGTCAGTGTGAAAAAGCCTTGTAGGCTCTGCTATAGTGTCTTTTTGTTGTTGTTAATCCTCACCCGAGGATATTTTTTCCATTGCTTTTCAGAGAGTGAAAGAGAGGGAGGGAGGGGGAGAGAGAGAAAAAAATACATCGTCATGAGAGAGACAAATCGATTGGTTGCCTCCTGCACACGCCTCCACCGGGGCCCAGGAACAAACCTGCAGCTGAGGTACATGCCCTTGACTGAAATTGAAGCCTGAGCCTTTGGTGCATAGGCCAACACTCTACCACTGAGCACACTGGCTAGGGCTGTGGAGTCTGTCTTTATCTTGTGGGTAGAAAGGGTGCCAAGAGGAGATCTTATGAAAGGAGCAATGGGAGCAGAGTTTAAGTTCACTATGACAGTCCTGTGGAAGTGAGCTGGAGTGAGGAGATGTGATTACTCCCAGATCTGTCATTTAGGACTTACCAGATAGAGCTTTCCTGCCTCTCTGTATCTGATTAACCAGTTAGAACTGTACTGGAGTTATTCCAATGAAATAGGAGTGGAGAGTTGCTTTTTAAAGGTTCACATTTTATTCAGAATACGGAGTATGATGGTATCCTTTTCTTTATATTACACTAGTAGCCCTGTGCACGAATCCGTGCATCAGTAGCTCGCTGCCGCTCTCCAGTAGCTCTCTGCCCACTGCCCCACCCTCCTGTAGCTCCCTCCGCCCTCTTGCTGCCCTGCCCCTCCTGTAGCTCTCCATCGCCCGCTTGTAGCTCGCTGCCCCACCTTCCTGCTGATCCGTGATCCTGTCATTACGGCCGGTCGTTAACGCTTCACAGCATATTACATCTTTATTATATAGGATTAATAATACATCATTATTTTAAAACTAGAAACTATAGATAGAAAGGAGAAAAAATTAAATCACTGGACACCTACTCCTAGACACTAACTGTCATTAACATTTTACTGCATGTACTTTTCTTCCATGGGAATATGCATACCCAAACCTCATGATTTCTTTATAAAAAAGAATTTGTCTTATACATACTATTGTGTAAACTACTTGCTTATTGTGAATGTCTTTTCATGTCACTAAATATGAAGATATATCTATCATTCCTTTGGTTAATGTTATTCACTAGCTTTTTATTTTAGAAAAGTTTCTTTCTGCAGAAAAGTTGAAATAATAGTTCAGATGTTCGTATACCATTTACCTAGATTCACCGATTTATTAATATTTTGTCATATTTACTTTATCTCTCCTCTAAAATACATATTTTCAAATGGTTCAGAAATATACTGGTATAAAAGTTGCAGATGGAAGATGACATGGTGTTTTGCCCAGATTTTTCAGCATGTATTTCCTAAGACTAAGGGCTTTCTTTTAAATAGCCACATTGCACATGTCAGAAAAAGGATTTGAACATGGTTTATCTAATAAATTTCTCTAGTTTCTCACAAATGTATCTTATGGCTTGGCTTTCTGTGTGCTTGTGCTTTGTTTTAAATTCAGGGTCCAATCAAGGATCATGCATTGTGTTTGGTTGTCATGTGTTGTTAGAGGGTGTTTTATTTTAATGTAGAATAATCCCCTATTTTTATCTTCTCTCTCATGACCTTGACATTTCTTAAAGCAGCGGTCGCCAACCGGTGGTCGGCGGACCACTGGTCCGTGAGGTCCAAAAGGTTGGTAACCGATGTCTTAAAGCAGTGATTCCCAAAGTGGGCGCTACCGCCCCCTGGTAGGTGCTGCAGCAATCCAGGGGGCCGGTGATGGCCACAGGTGCATTTGGGGGCGATGAGTAACTGCTATTAAAATTTAAAAAAATTAATTTCCAGGGGCTGAGTTATTTTTCTGGAAAGGGGGCGGTAGGCCAAATAAGTTTGGGAACCACTGTCTTAAAGAGTTAGGCCAGTTGTAGAATCTGGATTTATCTGATTTCTTTATGCTTAGTTTCTGGCAGCTTTTTAGCCAATAAAACAAAACAAACGTCCCATTTCATCATATCTGGAGCACATAGTAAATAATGTCCATTTATGCTTTATTGATGATACCAGGTATAAATCACTGGTTAAAGTGGTGTGTGGCGAGCCGGCACGGCCATGGCATACTCAGCCCCACATTGGGCACCTTATGTGCCGCGCCAGCTCAGCCAGGTTCAGTGACCCTGAGAGGGGGCGGTGAAGGATGGAGAAAAGACAGACAAGAGAAGAAAGCTGGGTCTGGGTGGGACGCTCTCCTCTCTGATGGAGAGCTAGCAACAGTGCCACAGACTACAAGCCGTGTCTTTATATTATAGCAGATTCCACAAGGCAAAGTAAGGGCGTGGTCAAGATGTTTACAGCATTCTCATGGGTTTCGATCCTACTCAATTACATGCACCTGAACTCTATCAAGCCCACATTACTCAGAAACATGTGATCACGGGTTCGGACCATAGGTTCAAGCTTACAACGATAGCTGTTGGCTATAATTGTGCTGGGAGGGCTCTGCCCTCCAAGCTGGGACTTGCACGTGGCCATGGGAGGACTGTGCAAACACTGTGGCCACTCTCCACAGTAGTGACTGCCAAATCTCTCCTTTGTAAAAATACCCCTTTCCTTTTGTAATTAACCAAGTAATCTGTGGGCCTGTTACCTTTCATCTACCTTTCACTCTTACAGTGAAATAGTAACCAGTTCTGTAGCCACATAGGTTACCAAATATTCTGTCACATTCCTCCAACTGAACTACAAGCTTCTTTAAGACAAGGACCAAATCTTATACCTTACACATTCTTTCTACTCCCCAACACCCGGTAGGTGTTGAGTAAATACTTGTTGATTGACTTATATATAAAAGGAGGATAAATGTTTTCTAGGTTTGTTTTTCAAGAAGGATACATTATTTGTAAATATGCATGTGTAAACCTACCGTTATTAACAGAATTTATGGGATTTAAATTTGTAACATTCAGCTTGGCCTTGTATAATTATGTAACAAAATCTTTGTTTTACTTTGTTTGTAAGGTACATCTTATTCAGGTTATGAAGCAGCAGTGTATTCAGCTGCATCCTCCTACTACCAACAGCAGCAGCAGCAACAGAAGCAGGCAGCGGCAGCAGCTGCTGCTGCTGCTGCCACAGCTGCCTGGACAGGGACCACCTTTACTAAAAAAGCACCATTCCAAAATAAGCAACTGAAACCAAAACAGCCTCCCAAACCACCCCAGATTCACTATTGCGATGTTTGTAAGATCAGCTGTGCTGGACCACAGGTACTTATGTTGTATGTTTTACCACAAGTCTTTAGTGGTTATTTTTTAACAGTTAAATATGGTTGATATTATAACTCGTGTTTACAAAGAAGGTTTCCAGTTTCTTCTCTGAGTTTAGCTAATACACATAGTTCATTAAATGGCCATTTTTGAAAAGGTATTTGTATTAAGACATAAGAATTCTATTAAGAAAAAACCGTAGGGCGGGTGGGTACCAGGTGGAGGGGGTTAATGGGGAAAAAAGTAGGACGTATGTAATACTTTCAACAATAAAGATAAATTTTTTAAAAACCTGTAAAAATGATTATGAATGTAAATGTAAAATGGGCATATTGAGCTTTTTTTATTTAAGAAGAATACTTTGCTCTTTAAGTAAACCTTAAATTTAGCTTAAAAGTTTTATATTTGACTTAATTGGGTTTTTGGGGAAAGATTGAATTTTTATTTCTTTTTTAGCATTTATAACTTGCTTTTAAAAGACTTTATACAAAATTTTTGACTTTCCTATCTCTTCTTCAAGGTCTGTATATGAGTGTATATATAGAATTTTACAGCTGAAAAAGGATGATCATAAAGATAATTGTTTACACACTTACATTAAAGATGAAAGAACTTTGTCAAATGTATTAGTTTTTGGAGCCTATAACTAGCAGGAAAAATTGTGTTTCTGGAATTAAAAAAAAATTCTTTTAATAATCTACAGTTCTTGGGATGCTTCTAATAAGACTGACTTTTATATTTGCTTTATAAGGTATTGCTTATTTCTATATAATCTTCTCCATGAGGGTAGGAATTCAGGAAACAAGAAAGGTGTAGGGAAGTGAATTTTTCAAAAATACTGACTAATGTAGCATGCAGAACCTTTATTCCCTCCTCCCCCCCATTTTTTGGTCTTTTATTCTGGTTGCTACACCTTAAAATATGTGATTTAGGCATGAGTCTAATTAGTACAACTCCCCAACTTTATTTGTTAACTAGTAGCCCTGCGCACGAATCCATGCGCCAGTAGCTCTCTGTGGGGCCTGGCCGCTCCGTGCCTGCTGCCCAGAGGCTCTCTGCTGCCCAGAGGCCCATCCGCGGCCGGGTGTGGAATGCTTGCCTTGTCGCCGTGGCGACGAAGCAAGCATTCCACCAGGCCACTCACGCTGCCCGCTCTCAGTGGCTGCCCCCCCTGGGACTGGGGGACTCTGGCTGGGCTGAGAGGACTGGGCACCGCCATCTTGTGGCTATGGGCGCCACCATCTTTGTGATGGAGTGATGGTTAATTTGCATATTATCCTTTTATTAGATAGGATACTTTCCTTAAGAGTGTCTAGTTTTTTGTTTGTTATGTTTTTTTCAGAGAGGAAGGGGGGGGGGAGAGAGAGAGAGAGCGAGAAATGATGAGAGAGAATCATTGGCTGCCTCCTGCACCCCCCCCCCCCCGGGATCGAGCCCACAACCCAGGCATGTGCCCTTGAATGGAATCGAATCTGGGACCCTTCAGTCCACAGGCCGACACTCTATCCACTGAGCCAAACCAGCCAGGGCAGAGTGTTTAGTTTTTATTTAAAAATTTGAAAAGCCATTTGGCAGGTAATAAGTATATTATTTGATTGAGACCAGATTTTGACTCTAATTATTTCTTCTGTCTCTCACCGCTGCCCCATCTGTATACGTTACTTTTTAAGTTACCAGCATTCCTTGAATTACTGACATCAAATTAGGGAATATTTTAATGTGTGGCTAGTTACATAAAACCTTTTTCTCTCTATTTTGAGTGCGATAGGAAATGGTCTCGTGATTGCATGGTTGGAGGAGAAGGGATAGGTAAAGAATATTTACAGTGACCAGGATTAAACATGAAAGGGAGCAAGGATGTTGGTCTTAGTATTCGAGGAGTGTATCCTACTCTGTGATGGTGTTGTAGAGAGGATGATGCTATGAGTGACAAATGTAAACCTAAGAGATTTACTGAATCTGTGGCACCCATATGAAAGGATAGAACATGACTCTAGGGTGGTGGGTTAACAGCAATATTTGGAATGAGTATACATATGGCTGACCATTGATTTGGAGTATCTGAATGGTTACACAAGAACAGGCCAAGGGTACTTCTACAAGTCAGATGCAGTGCCTTAAGGGGTTAATGAAATGAGCCTTAGAGAAAAATATTGAGATTATGAGAGTGTAGGTGTGAACATAAGGAGGGAGAGTCATTGGTTCAGGATTAAGGGTCCATGGTTTCAGTCCTGGCTCTGTCACTTACTGTGGCCTTGGGCAAGTCAGAGCCCTTAACTTCTTTGGGCTTTTATGTCTTTACTTCTATAATAGGAACTTGTCTTAAATAATTGAGGCTTTACTTGCTTCACAGAACCCTTCAGGCTGCCACAGACTAGAGAAGAATCAAATGGCTGAGTCTTAGATCTCTCTTTCATTTCAAAAACAGCAATTTTCCTTACTTGTGCATACTATTATTTATAGAAAGGATTCTCTTGTTTGAAAATTAGAAAGTCATTATTTTGGGTAATCTCTAAAGTTCCATCCAGCTTGGAAATTCTATGATAAATATATAATTTTATGGTAATTTTTGTCTGTCTTAAAAACAATTCTAAAAATAAAATATGTAAGAGTAACTATTGAGCCCCACTCAAGAACAAACAAACTAACCAGCAATCCATATTTACTTCCTCTCATTTTAATAAATCTGCATTCTTAATTGTCTGCATTCAAGACAGTTTTTAATGTATAATTTTACTATAATGACCACTGTCTAGTATCCTTTATTCAACATTATACATAACCAATAAAAGACACATCCTTTTTTTGTTTGTTCTTTAACTTTTTATTTATTGATTGATTTTTGAGAGAGAGATGGATTTGTTGTCCCACCCATCCATGCACTCATTGGGTGATTCCTGCATGCGCTCTCACTGGGATCCAACCCGAAACCTTGGTGCCTGGAGATGATGCTCTAACCAACTGAGCTACCCAGCCAGAGCAAGATACAAATTCTTTTATTTATTTATTTATTTAAATATATTTGATTGATTTTTACAGAGAGGAAGGGAGAGGGATAGAGAGTTAGAAACATCGATGAGAGAGAAACACCGATCAGTTGCCTCCTGCACACCCCCTACTGGGGATGTGCCCACAACCAAGGTCCATGCCCTTGACCGGAATTGAACCTGGGACCTTTCAGTCCGCAGGCGGACGCTCTATCCACTGAGCCAAACCAGTTAGGGCAAGATACAAATTCTTGAAACTGAAAGCAGTGACCTTCTATTGGTATTATGGCTCTGTGTGAAAGTCCTTTGTGAATCAAAGTGTTAGACAAATGTATTCTTGATGAACAAGGTACAGAGAACCACAGATGTATCACGTGTGTAGGGAGTCCCACATGCTTTTCTTAAATTGCTTTTAAAATTGTTTGGTGCTCATTTTTTAAATAAGTATTAGAGATTTGAGAATTGAATAATTTAAATGACTTTGTATCTAGAAAATTAATAAAATGTATCCTTTTTGTTTGAAACAGACTTACAAAGAACATTTAGAAGGACAGAAACATAAAAAAAAAGAAGCTGCATTGAAAGCCTCACAAAATACCAGCAGCAGCAGCAACTCTGCTCGTGGGACTCAGAATCAGCTGCGCTGCGAGCTCTGCGATGTGTCTTGTACAGGAGCAGATGCATATGCTGCCCACATTCGTGGTGCTAAGCATCAGAAAGTAGGTGTTTTTCCCACACAGCCTTCTGTCTTCCTCTGTTGTTGTTTTTTACCTTTTCAGTAGGGAGCTGGGGGGAGGGGTGTAAGCAAAAGTGGCTCCAAAACTTTGTGGGATAAGCCTTGTTTATGTGCTAACATATATATAAAAGAAGACTAGAGACCTGTCTTTAGATTGAACTAGATCATTTATTCTATCAATTGGAAAATTGTATGTTTATTTTCCTCCTTTTGTCATGCTTAAGCGTAGGTTGGTATGCATGTGGCCAAGTCATTTCATCTCTCTCTGCCTTAGTTTTCTCACTGATAATAGGTGGAATATGTTTCCTTATCTGCTTCATAGAGGTTATTTGGAAAATAATGAGTTTGTGTATGAAAATATATAGCAAAAAATATCATTTGTATTTTAATTTTATAATTTCTTTTAGACGAACTTGAAAATCTATATTCTGAGTTTCCAACAAATAAATGTGCTTTTATTTATTTTTTTGTAGGTGGTTAAATTACACACAAAACTTGGTAAACCCATTCCTTCAACAGAACCAAATGTTGTTAGCCAAGCTACTTCTTCAACAGCTGTGTCTGTTACAAAACCGACTGCCTCTCCTTCAAGCATTGCAGCAAGCAATTGTACTGTGAATACTTCTTCAATTGCAACTTCTTCAGTGAAAGGTCTTACAGCTACAGGAAACTCGTCTCTTAATAGCACATCCAACACTAAAGTGTCAGCAGTGCCTACAAGTATGGCTGCCAAGAAGACATCTACTCCCAAAATAAACTTTGTTGGCAAGTACTGAAGATTCTTTATGTTCTTCCCAACTCCGTCAAAGTAACATTTCTCTTTCGGTCCAGGACTAACCCTTCTGCTTATGGTCTTGTACCCACCTCCTCCCTTCTTCTCTGGGACCTTGTTGAATCACATATCTCTATTTTTTTCTTGAATTTTTAGTCAGTCCTCTAATGGTTTCTTCTCTCTTCCCTTCAGCCATGCAGGTATACCTTTATCTTTCATGGTCTTAAATTTTAAAAAAGATCTTTTCCCATTCCGGTTATCCTTTCAAGCTGCTAAACTAATTCTTTTTATCTTCTATACTTCTTATCCAGTCTCCAGTCAGTTAGTGTTTCCACTCTACCCTTTTCTGAAACTGCTTTCAAGAATCACCAAAAACCTAATTGCAAAATTCAGTGGCCAGTTTTCAGTTTCATCCTGTAGACCTCTCTAACTTTTGACTTAGTTGACTGCTATACCGTAAACCTTAAGATATGTCTCTGTCTCTCTAGTTATTGTCTGTCTACCCACCCCTTTCTCAGGTATCTTTATTGTTTCTCCTGCCTTCATGTTCACTGAATGGTGGTGTTCCTAAGATTCTGATTATGTTCTCATCTTACTCTTCTCATCCAGTATTCATGAGTGGTCTCATCCATTCCAATGTGTACAGTAACTTTAAAATCTTTTGGGCAAACTCAAAACCCCCATCTGAGTCTACAGCCATATTTTAGGTATCCCTGGTCATGATCTGAACAGCTTTATCGATGCCTACCAGTGTCTCCTTACCCATTGTCTTATTACAAGAGTACCACGAAATGATCTCATAAAATTGCTGGGAAAACTTCACTGACATTTTTTCCTATTTATTGCCTCCTCTAATTTTTTACCTGAACTTTTGTTTCTATCACTACAATATTTCTACCCCCCAAGAAAATGTCATCTTCATAGCCACTGCCTTGTTTTTAGGCCTTCAAAGTCTGCTCCTCAGCCGGCCAGTGTGGCTCAGCGGTTGAGTGTCGACCCAGGAACCAAGAGGTCACGGGTTAGATTCCTGGTCAGAGCACTTGTCCAAGTTGCAGGCTTGTTCCCCAGTGGGGGGGGTGGGGAGGCATGTAGGAGGCAGCCCATTGATGATGTTTCTCTCTCATTGATGTTTCTGTCTCTCGCCCTCTTCCTTCTCTCTAAAAATCAATAAAAACATATGACAGATCCCTCTCCTTTAAAAAAAAAGTCTGCTCCTCAGAGCTTTGTCTCTTATTGCATCCAGTCTCTCCAACACTTGTCGAAGTCATTTTGTGAAAATACATATCAAATTACATTAGACTCCTGATTAGAAGCTTTCAGTGTCATTCCTCTTGGTATGGGAAAAAAACCTCTATGTTCCTTAATTACGTCATCAAGGCCTTTCCCATTCGGGCTCCTGCCTCATCATCGGTCATCATCTCTACATAGGTAGTAATTCATAGTGAATTACTGAAGCTTCCTTAAATTTACTGCAGTCTTTTTAACTTGATGTTGTTGTGCTTTTTTTGTACATCCTATTCTTTTTGTTTAGACATTATTCTCTTCTTTCTGCCTGGCCAGTTCATACTCGTTACTCTTCTTTCAAAGCCCAGCTCAAGTGTCACACACTTGGTGAAGCCTTTTCTAACTGGATCAGGTTAAAGGGTAGTGGTTTCTTTGCTTTGCATTCTACAGTACTCTATTCATACTTAGTACAGCCCTTATCACATTGTATTATAATTAGTTGTTTCTTCCCTTAATTGTTGGCACCTCAGAAGCAGCTACATTGTTTTATTCTTATTATATTACCAGAATGTAGGACAGTGCCCAGTTCCATTGGCAAAGAACTAGGGATACCAGTATGAATAAGGCTTTTCAGGCACTTGCTGTTTACTTTTAGGTACTTGATGTTACGAGAACCATAGTGGGGACAGAGAGGAGTGTTGAGTGTGGGTGGTGAAGAAGGGGAAAATCCAGATGTGTGTTTCAATAGGGTAAAGAAGCCAAGTGGTTTATGTGGTTCTTCAAATTTCTGATCTATTGTGTGTCAAGCAGGAGTTTAACTTTTGGTAGAAAAGATAATTTTGTCTGAAGTTTTTGTTGTATCAGGTTATACATTTACACAAAAACGAAAGTTAAAATTACTGTAATTCTCTTATGCGTTTCTAGGTGGTAATAAGCTGCAATCAACAGGAAATAAAACAGAAGACTTAAAAGGAACAGAATCTGTTAAAGGCACTCCTGTTCCTTCTGTACAGATCCCAGAAGTGAAGCCAGACACAGTGTCAGAACCAGTCACGCCTGCCTCTCTGGCTGCTCTGCAGAGTGATGTGCAGCCAGTGGGCCATGACTACGTGGAGGAGGTATTGATTCAAGAACACTATTGCTGTGAGATGAGGAAAGGGGAAGAGGGTGTCGCTTTGTTGTAGGCATGTTTTTCATGTAAAATTAAATTATAGTCCATTAGGTTTAAGTTACTTGTGAAGGAATATCAAAGGGATCTTTTTAAGGGTTTTAAAAAGCATGTCCTTTAAGCTTGTCTAAGTAACATTACAATATTTTTGTTATCTCTTTCCCTGCTAAAACAGTAAAGTAACTCTCCATTTATTTGGTAGACATTCTTATATCTTTCAACTGCCCTGAACATAAAAATTTTAAAAATTGCGAGCACCAAAAATTTTGACAAAGCCAATACTTTTTTTTTCTAACAATCACTTAGTTTCATGTGTAAAATTAAGGTTGTTCATTTATTTTTTATTTATTTATTTATTTTAATACGTTTTTATTCATTTCAGAGAGAGGAAGGGAGAGAGAGAGAGAAACATCAAAGATGAGAGAGAATCATTGATCAGTTGCTTCCTGCACATCCCCTACTGGGGTTAGAGCCCAAAACCTGTGCATGTGCCCTGACAAGGAAATGATCCAGTGATCTCTTGGTGCATGGGTCGATGTTCAGTCCACTGAGCCACACTGGCTGGGCAGGGTTGTTAATTTAAAAGATCCTGTTTATTTGGTTTTTCAAGCTGATTAGAAAATTATTCCTGTTCTATCGAAAAGTAAGCTCAGTAAATAGAGGAGTGAGGGAACATCAGAGAGTCTTGATATAAATATTTGCCGTTAGTAGAAAGACTAACATGGAGTGATACAGCACTAGTCTTTACTCTTTATTGTAGAACATATATAAGTTCTCTGAAATTCAGTGTCTACATCTATAAAATTTGGCTATTCCCTAACAAAGTTGTGAAGATTGAATGAAATAAAGTGCCTAGCATATTGTAGATTTTTGGTAAATATTTGTTCCTTTATCCTTTTTCTCTCAAGTTATGTTGAGTTCTTTGTTTACAAGGTAGAAAACTGGGTTATGCAGTTTATCAGTAGTTCACATACAATTTATTTTAAAAGAGTAAGATTTGAAAAAATGTATGCCTCCAGAATGCCATAATTTCCAATGATAATAAAGTAATTCCAAACTTCAGATAGATGCATTCAAAGCCGGTCTTTAAAGCTTTCCCTGACAATTTGAACATAGTATTCATCATAAACTTCTTAATAAGATTTAGTCTACTTGTCTTCCTAACTGGTTGTACAGTTAGAAAAAATTGTCATTGATTTTCCACGAAGTTACATTGAGCTTTATCTTTAATCATCTTTATCTTCATTTTCAATAACAGTACCTGGTATTCAGTAACTATTTATTAGAGAATTTAAGGTATCTAATTGTTTTTAAATGTTTACATACAGATAAGAGTATTAAAATTGCAGTTAATTACAAACGCAAATACATGCTAACATCTTGTATGCTAACACTACAGTTAGAAAATTCTAACAGTTTGTTTTTATAGATCATCCTTTTAAAAAATTTTAGACATTGCCTATGTTTTTTCCTCTTAATTCTTCACAATTTTTTTTTATCAGAGAATCTGGGAGGCCATATGAATGAAATCTTCAACTGTAACATTTCCATTATAACTTGGATTTTTTTCCCCCTGCATCAAGGTACGAAACGATGAGGGAAAAGTAATTCGATTCCATTGTAAATTATGCGAGTGCAGCTTTAATGATCCCAATGCTAAGGAAATGCACTTAAAAGGGCGAAGACACAGACTTCAATATAAAGTGAGTAAAAATTTCAACTTTTTCTCTCTTTTTTTAAAACAGCTTGGAACATTCTAGATGTAAAATAAAGATTCTAAACATAACCCACTGAGTCCATGAATTCCCACTCCAAGATTAGCACATTATGTCTCACTTAGATTCAGATGTTTGATGTTTACTGATCAGTTTGTTATACTTAGGAAAGAAGATTATAACCATATTTCATCATTCTCAGTGACTGTAGCTAAATTATAACATTGCTTGGATCAAGTAATCATGTAAAGATAATTTTTTCACATAATAAAGTGTTTTGAAAGAAGTGTCAGGTCTCCATTTACCTACTTTATCTTGGTAGAATTCCCACTAAAATGAATTTTGAGATGAGGAATTCTTCATTGAAAACACTTCAAGCATTAAGTTAAATATAAATATTATATGTAAAGTTTTTACTTAGGCTGGACTAATCTAATGCATTAGATTCATGTTTTCTCTTTTGAACACAGTGGTGGTGAAAATTAAATTGTTAAAGGGCAATACTTTTTTATGAAAAGAAACTTTTTAATTCCACACTTAGGCATTTAGAATCATCTATTTACAAAAAAATAAAGGAAAGTTAAATATTCATTCGTCCCCTAAGGATCTCTTCTATTGGTCAGCACTAAGGCATGTACTTTTTACATACTAAGTATATAATTTTAAACTTGGAATAATTAAGAATTTTAGGGGTGGGAAGAAAACGAATATTAATGTATTCTGAATCTTTCCTCTGATTCAACTTAAATGCTGAATTTACTCTTATATAATAGGAAATTTGTAACTAAAAAATCTCTATGATGAAAGAATATGTGGGATTGTATGTGTAGATTGTTGGAAGGGGGTGCTAGTTTTTGAAATGTCTATATTAACAGAAAAAAGTCAATCCAGATTTGCAAGTAGAAGTAAAGCCCAGTATTCGAGCAAGAAAGATTCAAGAAGAGAAAATGAGGAAGCAAATGCAGAAAGAGGAGTATTGGCGGAGACGAGAAGAAGAAGAGCGCTGGAGAATGGAAATGAGGTAATTTCTTTAGCTTTTAGTAGCATAAGTGATTCAGCCTTCTTAAAAAAAAAAAGGCTATTCTAAGTATGTGACTCCCATTCAAAGCAGTCCAGATTTATTTCATGTACTTTTAATTTTCACTTTTCAGGAAGATCCTAGGGCAGGGGTCCTCAAACTACGGCCCGCGGGCCACATGCAAACACAAATATTGTATTTGTTCCCGTTTTGTTTTTTTACTTCAAAATAAGATATGTGCAGTGTGCATAGGAATTTGTTCATAGTTTTTTTTTAAACTATAGTCCGGCCCTCCAACGGTCTGAGGGACAGTGAACTGGCCCCCTGTTTAAAAAGTTTGAGGACCCCTGTCCTAGGGGCAGAAAAGAAATGCATTAGAGTAAGTTATTGGCTATTCTAATATTTGACTATTGCCTTGGTATTAGGAATTATGTGGTTAAGTGTATCTTACATGTATTAAATATGTGAAGAAATAGTTTAATGTTCTAAATAAATGCCTCAGTTTAAAACAAGCAAAACATTTGGCTACATGCTAAAAATATTGAATATAAGATTTGGTAGAGCCTAGACATCTTAGTGTTTTTTGTTTTTTCCACAGGTAACTTATACATTTATTTTATACCAAAAAAGTTATGTGCAACAAATAAACATTCTTACATATTTACATTTGTTTTTGTTTTTTTACCAGTTCACAAAACCGTGTCCTAAATTTATGATAAAGAATATTCCTATCTAATATTAAAGGGGAAATCTGCCCAGTGAACTCCATTTTATTTTATTTATTTTAATATATTGATTTTTTACAAAGAGGAAGATAGAGGGATAGAAAGTTAGAAACATCGATGAGAGAGAAACATTGATCAGCTGCCTCCTGCACATTCCCTACTGGGGATGTGCCTGCAATCAAGGTACATGCCCCTGACCGGAATCGAACTTGGGACCCTTTAGTCCCCCCGCAGGCCGACGCTCTATCCACTGAGCCAAACTGGTTAGAGCCAGTGAACTCCATTTTAAATGAATGTTTACTCTGGAGTTTAAAGCATTAGTAATAAATATTTTTGATGGGACATACTATACAGATCATATACCTCATACTTCAGCCATGCTTAATGGTTTTATAAGAAAGCATTTCATCTTTTCTAATTTGTTAAAAATATGTTTAACCAAGTGGCCTGGGCTCCCACCTCATCACACCCCTTTTGTTTTATTGAAGGGTAGTTCTCACAAATGAGGAATCATAAGTGCTGCCTAACATGTCTGAGTAGCGAGAGATTATTCCAGCGTTTGCATGTTAGGTGCTCCTTCCCAAATACGTTACCAAAAAAGGAAGTGGGTTTCTTGTTGGCATGTGTTTGATACTGATTTTCAAGATCTGCCAGCATTCCCTGCTGTCAGGTAGAGGTCCCGATCTAAATGATGAACTGATTGCTGGAGCTAACCTTGCACTTTGGCTGATAGTCTTAAAAGGCAATAAAAGCAAATTAAGGGTAACAAATAGTTTTAATTTCACTATAGTCTCGGTCCTCTATTTAGCTAGTTGGTCCAAAGATCTCTTGTACCAAAAAATCTTTGTGGCTTCGAATGCAAATAGTCACTGGATTTAAGATGTAAGTTTACCCTCACTGACAGCAACTAGCTGTAATGAAACATCAAATGAGGTTTGGAGAACCTAGATTCCCTAAAATTTATCATCTAACGACAACTTCTCATTTCTTCAAATGATGTGACTGTCAAGTTAATAGGAGGCTTCAATTTACAAATCGTTTAAAAAATCAAGAAGTGTGGAATTACTGCCAAAAACAGAAATTCAATTTTTCCCCTAATCTGTTCTTCAATGTTGGTGGCTAGTAATTTTAAAATACAGTAGGTCCTTGGGTTGCGTCTGAGATCCGTTCCTACGGTGTGACATAACTCGATTTTCGCCATAAGTCAGACTCACCTCCATAAGCATCTACGGCACTCACATGGAGCACAGACACAGCACTAATGAAGTGAAACAGTAAAAAAAATTTAAAAGAAAGATAACAATTCCTGACCTTTACTTGTGGTAAATAAATAAGAAACATAAAGCACATATGTACATACATCGAAATGGCGGAACTTTTTTTTTTTTTTAATAAATAAATGGGAGATGGCGACGAAACGACATATGTCGAGTCCGATGTAACCCAAGGACTATCTGTAGTCATAACTGTACTGGAATTTTAAAACATGGTATCTTTTTTCCCCCTCCTCTGGGGTGACTTAGAGGATGTAGAGGGAGCCCACACTCTTCCAGGGCACAGGTACCACATAGCACCCAGCAGGGCCTGTGGCTTACTGAGACGTCAGCATTACAAGCTGTAGTGCAGGCAGCACATGTTCGTCACTCAGCGAGAAAAAGGTGGTTAGTTCTGGGTCATAGGAATGTGGCCATTTTATAATACAACTTAGTGTGTTTTTTAAGAATGCAGTTTATTCTAGAAAGTTTAGAGCAGTGGTTCTCAACCTTCCTAATGCCGCGACCCTTTAATACAGTTCCTCATGTTGTGGTGACCCCCAACCATAAAATTATTTTCGTTGCTACTTCATAACTGTAATTTTGCTACTGTTATGAATCGTAATGTAAATATCTGATATGCAGGATGTATTTTCATTGTTACAAATTGAACATAATTAAAGCATAGTGATGAATCACAAAAACAATATGTAATTGTATATGTGTTTTCCGATGGTCTTAGGTGACCCCTGTGAAAGGGTCGTTCGACCCCCAAAGGGGTCGCGACCCACAGGTTGAGAACTGCTGGTTTAGAGGCTACAGGGAAGGAGAAATGAGAAACATTTCATTCAGAGAGATCTTCATTTTTATTGGTTTTAAGTGATATATCTTTAAATGGTACAATTCACATATATTTACAGTTATGTAGTCATCACCACAGTCAACTTTAGAACATTGTCATCACCTCCCCAAAAAACCACGAAACCTTTAGCAACCCCTCCCTCTACCTGTAGGCAACCATTACTACACTTCTGTCTCTGGAGATTTGCCTGTTCTGGAGATCATACAATAGTTGGTATTTTTTTTGTCTGGCTACTTTCATTTAGCATAAATGATTTCAAGATTCATGCATATTATTGTGTATGTCAGTACTTCATTTCTTTTTATGGTTGTATCACATTTTGTTCATCAATCGATGGACAGTTGTGTTTCTACTTTTGTACTATCATGAATACTGCTGCTATGAATGAGTATTTGTGGGCCAGTTTTAAAATGTAATTTCAAGAAATATGAACAAAAGCATAATGTATGCATATTTTATAACACACTTTTTCATTTACATATCAACCTTTTAAAATACATTTTTATTGATTTCAGAGAGGAAGGGAGAGGGGGAGATAGAAACATCAATGATGAGAAAGAATCATGGGTCAGCTGCCTCCTGCATGCGCCCTACTGGGAATCGAGCCCCCAACCCGGGCATGTGCTCTGACCGGGAATTGAACCGTGATGGTTCACAGGCCAATGCTACATATCAACTTTTTTAAAAAAATTAAACCAGGCTTTTTTTTTCCAAGGCAGCATAGTATTTTTTTGTACAGAGGTAAAATATTCTGTGTAACCAGTTATATATTGTTAGATATTTAGGTTGTTTCCAGTATTTTCATATTAAAATTACATTGATCATCCTTGAGGCTATAAATCATGATTAGTTGCTAATAATAAAATCCCAGAAATGGAAATGTTTGATTTAAAGATACCCATACTTCGGCCTGTACTAGATAGTATAACATTGTGGTCCTTAAATTTTTTGTCTCGGGACTCTTTGTGCTCAATATATGTGAAGACTTCAGTGAGTTTTTGCTTAAGTGGGTTATATCAAGATTTACTGTGTTAGAAATTAAAACTGAAAGATTTAAATATTTATGAATTTAATTTTTAAATGACTTAAACTATAGTTAAAATGTAGTTAAAATAACATTCAACAATTATAGTATTAGATTAAATATATTTAATAAGTATATGATGAAAATTAACTATAAAATAACTATATTCTTCCCCAGAATCATGAGAATGACATTGTTTTACGTTTTTGCAAATCTTTTTAACGTCTGACTTAAAAAGAGGCAGCATAATTCTCATATCTGCATCTATGTTCAATATGTCATGATTACCACATTTTGCCTCTGGATAACTCCATTGTGCACAAATAAGAGAATGAAAATGGAAAAGGCAAAATAATGTATTAACCTTATTATGAAAGTAATTTTGAAGTCATTGATTCCTTGAAAGGGGTCTCAGGGGCCATCTGGGGTTCTTGGATCACACTTTGAGATCTGCTGCTAGAACTTATTAAAATAAAATCTCTGCCAATGAGCGAGCCCTGGCTGGTGTGGCTCAGTTGGTTGGATGTCGTCTTGTGCACCAGGAGGTTGCCAGTTTGATTCCCAGTCAGAGCACATGCCCAGGTTGCAGGGTCGGTCTCCAGTAGGGAGGCGTGCAGGAGGCAGCTGATGGATGTTGCGCTCTCACGTCGATGTTTCTCTCTCTCTAAAAATCAATAAACGATTCTTTAAAAAAATATCTCTGCAAAAAAAAAAAAATCTCTGCCAATGAGAGTGTGAAATGTGAAAGCCATTTGTGTTTCAATTTGAATTGTTTGTATGCCTGGCAAATTGAGTTTTTATTTCATGCTTGACCACTTAATTTCTTCTGTGGTAAATTGCCTGTTTAGTTTTTTACTTACCTGTTATTGATTCATATAGACACTTACGTTATAGATATTAAGTCATTATTAACATGTTACTTTTAAGTAGTTCTTATTTATGTATTGATTTTTTAAAATGTATTTAAATCTACCAGTAAGTCACATTCTTTTATTTTTATTTTTTATTGATTTCAGAGAGGAAGGGAGAGGGAGATAGAAAAAACAATGATGAGAGAGAATCATTGATTGGCTGCCTCTTGCACACCCCCTACTGGGGATTGAGCCCGAAACCCAGGCATGTGCCCTTGACTGGAATTGAACCAGGGACTCTTCAGTCCGCAGACTGACGCTCTATTCACTGAGCCAAACCGGCTAGGACTAAGTCACATTCTTTATGAAGTTTCTGCCTTTGTCATGCTTTGGAAATTCTTTATTCCTGTATTATGCAATTATTTTATCTGCACTGATACATATTTACTTAAGCACCTACCATGTGCCTGAAGTATTTGGCATTGAGTGTGAATTGGTAAACAATGGATAGAGTTCCCTGCCCTTATTTAACTTAAACATCTTTTGTAATAACTATTCAAAACTGATTAGTTGCTAATTATAAAAGTATTTGGCATTGAGAGCCTTCAAACTGTTTTTATTTTTTCTCTCTCAAAGCCTAAATAACATTGAAAGTCTGGTCCTAAGTTGGATGACTTAAAAAGCACTGTATTCTCAATCTGACAAAATTGGTAATTTCTACAGTGCTACTTGAGAAGCATACTACTTATGTTCTGTATTAAAAAAAAATTTAGTAAAAGCTTATTGTTATAAAAATTAGATTTCCCTTGGGAGTTACTGATTTCCTAGTTTGAAGCTGAAAATGAGGATAGAAGTGAAAGAGAATCAGATAATGAAAAGAAGTTAGAAAGTGTTGACCATTAAAGCAGAGACTATCTACTAGCTGTCCACAGTCCAAGTTCAGCCCATGGGTGTTTTATTTGGTATACATAGTATTTTTAAATCTGAACTAACACTTAAAGACCAACATCAAAGACATTTTAAAAACATTAAAATCCTGGTGGCCTTGGGATTATATATATTACCTTATGGCAATAATTAATAAGAGCTAAGTCACAACTGTTGTCTCTAGCCAGAAGATGCACTTTCTACTTTTACCATAGTCTCCATTACTTGTAATATTCCCCAAAATGAGACAGATCGTGAGTTGCCATTTATCATTGTCGTATACTATTGTTGTTCCTCATAGTAGAGAAATGTCTTTGTTTCTACCTGTATCATAGAGGAAAAAATTAAAGGTAGTCTTAAGAGGTTCTCTCTAAGCAAAAAAAAAAAAAAAGGAGAGAGCATATTTCTTTGGATACATGAAGAAATTCCTAAGTGTTTGCTTTGGATCTTTCACTCACACACATTATTGGTCTGGACCCGTTAGGCAGGCATTTAAGTTAACAATTTCTCCCTTAAAGAGAAGAGAGCGAGGTTGGAAGGAACGGAGATTCCTGATGCTTGTTCTTTCAACTTTGACTTTAGACTGAAATTTTGTTTTGCTTTTCTCTTTGTATTCTCATTTTTTCTTTTCACTTGTATTCACTTGTATTACTTCTAAATGAAAGCATATAAAGGAAATCAGAGGGGAAAAGGTGTTAGCAAGGCTGATTAGGGTTTTTAAATAGCCTTTTATGTCATTAATGTAAGTTCTTGGGTTGTAATTTTCTTATAGGCTTGTAATGTCACTCTCTGTGTTTCAGACGTTATGAAGAGGATATGTACTGGAGAAGAATGGAGGAAGAACAACATCATTGGGATGATCGCCGCCGAATGCCTGATGGTGGCTATCCTCATGGTCCCCCAGGTCCGCTAGGCCTTCTCGGAGTCCGACCAGGCATGCCTCCTCAGCCACAGGGGCCGGCAGTGAGTGTCCACTTCATTTATGTGGGGTGAAAACATAGGACTTGTTCAGCATGGGAGGATAACAGTTTTGAGGAGCTAGTTCTTAGACTTAATAATCTCGTAATCACAATGTAAATTCATCTGATTTAGAATCCTCCCCCCTCCCCCCTTATTACAGGTTCTTAGCACCTGTCTTTATGTATAAGGAACTTCATAGAATTTCTGAGTCGTTTCTTTCAACGTAAGCTAAATGGGAGTAGAGCTTCTTTGCCAATATAAGAGATTGTCTTGCCTTTGTTGTTTAGATGAGATCAGCAGGAACTGATTATCTCTCCCTTACCAGTGGTTTAGAATATTTTTTCTTTCTAATCCTGACCATCTAAAACCTACTACTACTTCTGAATTGAGTGCAGGATAAGGGGCAGTACATAACTAGTTCAAGATTAGCACTACAGTTGATGAATTAGGAAAATTAGAGGAAAGATCTGAATCTCAGAGTGTGTGTGCTGTGGAATCTGGCTAAAAGAAGAGACATGGGTCGGGGGGTGAGGAACATTTCATAGAAGTGTTCAGACTACAGAAAACAAGAGGGTCTTTTTGCTTGTTTTGTTTTCTGGAGAGCACTTGGAAGAAAACAGCAAATTCCTCCTTTTTAACCTTTTTCATTTGTCTTTACACAGAATAAGCAACAGTAAAACATTTATTAAAAGCAAAAGAATTCTGAATCACTGGTTTTTAAAGTTGAGTAAAAAAGTATTGTAACTTGCCCTAGCCGGTTTGGCTCAGTGGATGGAGTGTTGGTCTGCGGACTAAAGGGTCCCAGGTTCGATTCTGGCCAAGGGCACATGCCTGGGTTGCAGGCTCGATCCCCAGTGGGGGGCGTGCAGGAGGCAGCCAATCAATGATTCTCATCATTGATGTTTCTATCTCTCTATCCCTCTCCCTTCCTCTCTAAAATCAATAAAAATATATTTAAAAAAGTATTGTAACTTGAGATGGCATGTATTATAATTTTGTTTTGAGGCCATGTATATACTTACATATTCTAGGTAGTATAACTTTCCATAGTTTGCATTTTTGTTTTTACTGAAGTAGAAAAAAGGAGAAGATAGTTTTAAATGGACATTTTGCATAATCGACTTTGTTATTGAAAAGATATGATGAAAATATGTGTATTTTAAAAATAATAATTTACTTTTGCTCAGGAAACATTTTTTTAAATGAAGTAATTTTTTTTTCTGTAGCCTTTACGACGTCCTGACTCATCTGATGACCGTTATGTAATGACAAAACATGCAACCATTTACCCAACTGAAGAGGAATTACAGGCAGTTCAGAAAATTGTTTCTATCACTGAACGTGCTTTAAAACTTGTTTCAGACAGTTTGTCTGAACATGAGAAGAGCAAGAACAAGGAAGGAGATGATAAGAAAGAGGGAGGTAAAGACAGGTATGTCTTCAGAGTTATCTACTTTGTATATTTTTGCTTTTCCTTTCATGGACTTACACTTGAAATAAAAGTTATAGAGACTGAAAACTCTGGTGTGGATCTACAGGCTTATCATGCTTGTGTTAGATGCCTGGTGTAGTCACCTCTTTTTTGCCAAAACAAGAAATACACAATTCCATACAATCTCCAGCCTTCTAAATTTACACGTTTTGTTTAAATTTATATAAAACTATTTTGAGTTTGTGTTCAAAGCTGCCTTTGTAGTTTTCTAATTGCATTCATATGCTATTAGTTTTTATTTACTTACTAGAGGCCCGGTGCATGAAATTCGTGCACTTGGGGGGCGTCCCTCAGCCCAGCCTGCACCCTCTCGCAGTCCGGGAGCCCTCAGGGGATGTCTGACTGATGGGGAGAGGCCTAAGCTGGCAGTAGAACATCCTTAGTGCTGCCACGGAGGCAGGAGAGGCTCCCGCCACTGCCACTGTGCTTGCCAGCCATGAGCCCGGCTCAGGGCTTCTGGCTGAGCAGCGCTCCCCCTGTGGGAGCACACTGACCACCAGGGGGCAACTCCTGCATTGACTGTCTGCCCCCTGGTGGTCAGTGCATGTCATAGCATCCAGTTATTCTGCTGGTTTGTCGATTTGCGTATTAGCCTTTTATTATATAGGATTGCGTCTGTCCTACATTGTATTTGTTTTATCAACTTTTTTCCTTAGTGCATTGACCATAAAGCCTGAATAAACCCAAGCTTTTGCAACATCTTTCAAGTTTTACATTATGATCTATTAACTTTTCATGTTCCCTTTATTTGGAAATATTTTTGTATGATATTAGAAATGACTCTTATCCTAATTTGTAAAATGTGACACAGAAGTGTTAATGTTCTTTGTTTTTCAGTTCTCCCTATGATAACTTAACTCTTCATTTATTTATATTTCTTATCTAGATGAAAGGTACTTCTACAAATATTGAATGTGTTTATACTGTAGTTGATGGAAAATTTAATAGTATAGAAAGTTATTTAATTTACTCTGTGTGGTCAAAGACTATCATGGTTCTCGTTAAGAAGAGAGACATAATATAATTTGATTTTACTGCAGAGCTTTAAAAGGAGTTTTGCGAGTGGGAGTGTTGGCAAAAGGATTACTTCTCCGAGGAGATAGAAATGTCAACCTTGTTTTGCTGTGCTCAGAGAAGCCTTCCAAGACATTATTAACCCGTATCGCAGAAAACCTGCCCAAACAGCTTGCTGTAAGTATTATGGAAATGTTCATTTTTACCCCTTGTCTGGTTCAAACGTTTTTGGCAGAACTAACTTACTGTTTCAGTTTTAAACCTAAGCCAGCCTTTAAGTTTTTGGTTTCACTTTCCACGTTGAATTTTATTCTTGGTTGTGCGAATTAGTAGGGCTATTTTCTACTTTGTCTTTTTATGTTTTATAGTGCTTGTAACTGGCATGAAGCCATCTTAGGAATTTATTTTAAAATGTAAAATTGCATGTCCTATTTGTGTTCTTTTTCTAAGATTTGAATCATCAGAGAGAAGGCAGTTGTTCAGAACAGAAAGTGATTTTTTTTTAAACAAAGGCCACGTATAGCAAGCTTAACTTTTTAAAAATCATGAACCTCTTGGCTACTTACTTGAATGCATGTTTTTAATAAAATATAATAAAGAAAATAAACTTTCCGATTTGAATTTCCCTAGTTTATCGTAGTTATTTTAAGTTTTCTCCATATTATAACAGTAGGAATTCTTCTCCAATGTCCATTTATTAAATCATGGCAATACACAATTGACAGAATATCCCCTTTTGGCTCTACAAAAGCAATTGTTTGAATTTTTTAAGATTTATACATTAGCTTGTTAGAATCTCAGGCTGAGATTTAAAATACAGATTCCTTGAATAATTTTATGTATAAAACTTATTTTAAAACCTTGCAATTTAATTAGGCATTCTAAATCCAAGGACTGACATTTTATTGATACAGTGGGGCCTTGACTTAGGAGTGTCCCGACTAACGAGTTTTTCGAGATATGAGCCATCTCTCGGCCGATTTTTTGCTTTGAGTTGCGAGCTAAAATTCAGGTTACGAGCCAGCTTCAGATACCCCACCGCTAGTTGGCGCAGCTAACGTCACAGTGAACGCCACAACATAAGCCCAGCATCACGTGTCTCACTCGTTCACTTTAAGATTTGACATACGAGTAATTTGAGTTACGAGCTCCGTCACGGAATGAATTAAACTCGTAAGTCAAGGCCCCACTGTATTGTAATGAGTCAGAATAAGTAGTACCTGACCACAGCAGAGCAACTATAGCAAGGAATAATGAAGCACACGATTGAGCTTCAGCTGTTGTCTGCTTTGTATTACCCTTGTTCCAGAGATGAAATTTCTTATTGTGGATAAGTCTTTAAGTATTAGGAGCCAGCAGAATTGGCAATGCCTACTTCTTACCGATACTCGGTTGAGACTGCTAGAACAATGAGGAGAGCGAAGAAGATGTTTGAGGTCCTTGAAAGAATCATGTCAATTTGCAAGAAACATCTTGATCCTAATTGTGGTGCTTAGTAAAACCACAGAGCAGGAAATGTTATATCTTAACTAATTAACAGTTAAATAATTAAGTGAAAAGCAGAATATTTTTTCCAAATCAATCTGTACATATTGTACAAGTGGATAAGCAAGAGTAATAGAACTCTTCATCATCGTCATAGTTAACATTTATATAGCACTTACTATGTATATACCAGGCTGGTACTGCTTTAAGTGTTTATATAGTTAATTCATTTATTCCTCCAACAATCCTATAAGATAGAATTTCTGTTCCCATATTACAGAAGCAGGTATAAGGAAATTCAAACAATTCTAGAAGAAAGGTGGAGCAATAATTTAATGTTATTTTCATTTAATGCAAGGCTCCCCAAGGGGAGTAGTATATGATCTAGTCCTTATAAAATGGTTGTGGTAGTGAGAAAATGAGAGAGCCATGATGAAACTGCTTTGTCTGATAATGTAAAAGGTCCAGCTAATTATTGTACTCTTCATTACATAGGTTATAAGTCCTGAGAAGTATGACATAAAATGTGCTGTGTCTGAAGCGGCAATCATTTTGAATTCATGTGTGGAACCCAAAATGCAAGTCACTATCACCCTAACATCTCCAATTATTCGAGAAGAGAACATGAGGGAAGGAGGTTGGAAAGCCATTAAACATTCTATTTTTCTATTAACTTTTTTTTTTTTTTCATTTACCTACTCTTTGAGATGGCATTAAGCCCTAGAAGGCAACATGCTGGCATTACATATGAAGTTGATGGATTTGATTTAATGTAGCAGCCAGTTTTACTTAAGATCATTTTGCAGAAAGTAAATGTTCTTCTTAGTAATGTACTTTTATATAAAACACTCATGGTATTACTGATTTTCTTGATTTTTTTCTTTTCTTGCTAACCTCAGATTTCTGGAAAAAGAAGTTCAAAATTATTCTTACTGGCATAGTCGCAACACATAAAAAATTAAATGTTGCTTGTAAGGGGCCACAAATTTAACTTCTTTTAAGAAGTTCTTGTTCTTGCCTTGTCTTACAAAAAAGACAAGAGTTTCAGAAGTAAAATTGGTTAAACACTCATAAGTTATATTTTTAGAGGCATTGTTATATATGTAATCATGGATTTGGCTTGTCCTGTGGTAAAAATATTTCTAGTTCTCTGAGGTTGTTCTTTGGTTTGGAGCACTTTCATAAATCCAGAGTATCCTATTGCATGTAGACATGGGCATTTGACCCCACTATTATACTAGAGATATTGAAAAACAAATGGGGTAGGTGTAGTTAGTGAGTTCTAGTACAGTTCAGGATTTACTTTACAATTGTAGAATATGAAATCCTGCTGGTGCCAGCAATGTTGCTTTAGGGACTATTCTGTAACATTTTCAAAGCTTCAAAAGCTTAAGCCAAAAAGCATGGTCAGTGTCTGCCATATGTTGGTTCTGTTGTTTTATGGGTCAGATAAAATTTACTTTGTTTCCTTTCATGTTGTTGTTGATTATGGAGTTAAAGTCTACACTAGTATTTCTTTGTGATATATGTATAGGAGAAAAGAATACTATATATTGAATGTTAAAATTTGTCTAAAATAGCATCAGTAGGCTCTCAATTACTGTCACTTTAAATTTGTTTTCTTACAGCAAAGCAATTTATTTAAGGCACTGGGCTTTTTACTACCCAGAAAAAGAACATTTCATTTAAAACTTCATTGGGAGACTTGTCTAATTTTGCATACTTTGTATATAGACCATATCAGGACTTGTATGTTCTATAAGCTTTGCATCTTAAAAATAAATGGATTTTGTATAAAGGATCTTTTATATGAGCATGAATTTCCACTCAAGGTCTGGCTGTGGACATTACTGGAAACAGTTCCTGAGTCAAGCTGGTCAATTCATATGCAGCCTATGACTCTGAGGGCTCGGGGGGAAAATCTTCTAATGTATTATGTTATAAATAAAGGTGCTATATTTAGGGTGAAATTATACTTGTATAGCCATTTAGCTTTATTTTAGAGCATATTTTGTTCAATTACATTTAGGCTGTTTAATTTGTGCGGTATCAAGTCATTTATGTTGCAAGAGTCTAAAGTCAAGGTATCATAGTTGTAGTAGAATGTTTAATAACCTATCCCTTTTAAAGGAAACAAAATTATATTTTTGTCTGACCCAGACTTGATTTAGAATTATTGTTCTGAATTTCATAAATATTATATTGAGAGAAATGATCAGTCCAAAATTGAAAGATTTTACTTCAAGACACTGAGCTGAAAAGTTGGATGTGCAAAAGTATAGAAACATTGAGAGAGTGTTCCTTGCTGCAGATTAGTGCAGTAAACCATTTCTTTAGCTTCATTATGAAGAGTGCTTCTTTTTTGCTGCAGAATAACGGTATGTATTCTCTCTCACTGCAGCTCCCAATGCTCTGTGTCTTAAAATCATGTAAAGCCTCTAGCTTGCTTTGGGGAGTTAGTACAGGGGTTAAGGAAGGCTTTGCCGGAAGAGTGATTGTAAATCACGAGACTTGAGACTTGCGCATAGTGTGGTAGCCTCTTTAATGCGTAATGATCCCATTTAATGCCAAAAATTATTTAAAGGAAATTATTAAATTGTCCAAATAACTGTTAAACGCATGATGGATCTATTTTACAGCACAGTGTTTGACAGTTAAATATTAAGTAAAAGTTTAATTGACTTGAGGCTTGAAATGTTCAAAATGCTCTAACCCTTGCTACAGAGTGTTTTCTGCAGCAAGTCAAGTATTGTGTGTGTTTTTTTTCACCTGTAGCTTGTCAGGCCCGGTCCAAAGCCTTCTAGCAGAGGGGATTGATTCCTGTCAGGGGTTGCTGCCAAGACATCGGAAGGATTTTTGACCAAGGTTTTCAAAAGCTCAGTGTCACACCTGCCATTTGATTCAGAAGAGATTGTGGATGCAGAGCCTGGCATTTATTGTCCTCTGTGTGGCTGTTCTGTTTTGTCTTTGTGTCTTCTAGAATTGAGCAGTGTTCACACTAGTTTTTAAATGGTTGGGTGGATTATATATTTTACATAACCATGTTAATTTAAATTAATATATTCCTATTAACTTTTATTCATAAAATAGTGTGGACACAGCATGTTTTCTAACTAGTGATTAACCCCTTAAATTTTATGAAATGCATTTATGTAGGGTAAGAATTTTTTAAAAAATAACCCATTTTTGTTTTGTTTTAACTGGGTATTAGGCAACAAGTATGCTTTTAGTACAGTATATCTAAGGGGTTAATCCACTTGAAGTATAAAATGGGTGCAAAAATCCACACTCTAACAGAAACTTTCTAGCTCTTAATTTTTTTTAAATTGCAATAGGTGTCTTGGCATCTTTGAAATTGTATCAGTAATTAAAATTTTCAAAGTTTTGAATGCTTGTATCCAAAAAGAAAATTTTTCTTACATATTAGAGGAAATTATAACATTAAGAATTAACATTAGAAATTTAGAAACATTTTTAGAAAGAGATTGCACACTGTCACCTATTTGCATTCTAGCTTTAGCAAATAATGTAAGTAATTAGGGACATGGGAAGAGGGTCTTTCAGCATGTTCTGTAACCCTGCTTTGAGGAGTGGGTGGATTTGTTCTTTTTTTGGTTCTTTTTTCCTTTCTTCTTTCCTTCCTTAGTTAGCCATGCTTTCCTGTGTTTCTTATCTCAGAATAGCCCATTTCTTATGTTCAATATATTTCTTGATTCAGTAGTTGGTCTTGCAGGTTTTGAGATTGTTTATTAATTTTAAAAAGTAACTACTATTTTTGTCTTGATAGTTTCTTTTGAGTACCCAGATTCCTCTTAGTGTTCATTCTTAGGATATGACACAGTGTTCTTTGATTATCAGTAGATCTCCCTTCTAAACTGTCTTCTGAGAAATCTGTGCCATCTGATTACTTTAGGAGTAAGAACTAACAATAGGCAATATAATTCTTTATCACTTAAAATACGCTTTCTTATATGTTATCTACTCAAAATACGGACAAGTATCTCTTAAGACTTCTGAATGGTCATATAAAATATGCAATCAAGTAACTTGCCCAGAGTTGCAATGGTACTCTTAAAATAAAATCATCGTTTATTTTATCACATACTTCTTTTTCTCTCATCCATTTGGTATCCTCAGTGATTTATTAGATGATATCCTAAACGCACCTTCTGGTGCTTTTTTACCAGAAGACTTAAATTCAATAGATTATTTGCCTGGTATATAATTTCCCTATAATTTAGAAAATATTTATACTGTTAAAAATCATCAAGAGTTGTGAATTTGATGGGCTTAATTGCTATTTACTTGTGAATAGTTTGATCAGCAAATTTACTGTTATATTTAAACACATTTTACAGATATGTTTAGGAGAATATAAAGCTGGCCCTCCAACTATTTTTGTGAATGTAAAGTTAACCTCTTGTCTTGGTTTAGGTTCAGATTTCCTTCTCAAGTTTTATGTAGCTCATTCATGTTTTAATATAATAATCTGATTAAAATCAATTATTATAACCTCAAGCCTTACATGTTATCATCAAAATGCTCTGCTTAGTCCATCTCTTCTGTTTCTATACTTACTCTATTTAACCATGCTAGTTTCTACTGCCATTTTCTCTGTTACCCATTGTTTCTCTCCAGTTATTCTTTGGAACACCTTTTGGGAACTTTGAATTTTTAAAAGGCATTTTGTATTCCTTACAACTAAAAATCTCCTTGTGGAAGAGAAAGTATTAAACTCTTAGAAGTTTAATGCCTCTTTATTTTTTTCTATGATCATTACTCTGTTGTCATTCCATATTTATCATTAATTCTTCGCTATATTAGCCCCAGAATAACCTATGACCATTTAAAATACTGAACAAACTCAGTAGTGTTTTGTACATTCTCATTTATTAAGGTGGATTTTTGTGTTCCCTCTTGTCTTGTCATCTTTGTGCTGGTGCACTGTGTCCAGTAATCCTTCCTTTTGATTTTATTTTGGTGGGTAGGGTTTATATTTGCAGAAATTATTATATTTCTAAATTAAGAGTTTAAGTCTCCGTTTGGTCGTCATGTTGGAATATGTAAATTTGTTGAAAATAATTCCCTGGGTACGTTAAAGTGCTGATAGACTCTCAAATGGCTCGTGTGACACTGATGCTACTTTAAGGAAGTGTCTTGCTCACCTGGTCAAACACCCATTCCTCACTGCATTTTGCCAATTCAATCCATTTTAGATGTAACCTCGGGTATGGTGAAAGACCCACCGGACGTCTTGGACAGGCAAAAATGCCTTGACGCTCTGGCTGCTCTACGCCACGCTAAGTGGTTCCAGGTTCGGAACATCATTTTACTTTTTTATTGTAGCCTTATGAGAGAGTAGTTCAGTACAACATGTTTAACTGTGTTTAAACATTTTGAAAGATTGCCCAAGCAACACTATTTTAAATTAAATTTCAGAAAATATGTTGACATAGAAAGCTGGGTTTGAAGATCTGCATATTGCAGTTACTATTATTTGACAATGAACTTAGGTTTTGGGGGTGTTTTGTAGTTTGGGTTATTTTATTTTTATTTTTAGTAGCTATATTTAAAGTTGACTTGTTTAGGAACATCACATGTTTGTGTATATATATTATATTCCATAAGGCTGCAGATTAACTTTGCTTTACATAATGGAATATGTGTTTAAAGCTTTCTGTATAGTTTTAAGATCCCCTCTCCCCCCTCTTTCTCTAAGTTAATACGTGTAGGGAGTGAAAGGTGAGGAAGTAGCTGTTTGGTTTAGTGACTTTGTAGTCATGCAAAGGCACAGAAGGGAAACCAAACAGATTTCTTTAACCTTTCAGTCCCTAGACAAACTTTTTAGCTCTTTACTTTTTCTTTTATTTCTAATGTAGGCAGATTTTTTTTAAGTTTATTGATTTAAGTGATTACAGGTCAAGGTTCACAGGGTATCAAGAAATATTATTCTTGTATAATCTGTTTACTTTGACCTAAAATACCAGCTTTTAAATACTAACCCTGGCATAAAATACTGCTGTAAATGGCAGCTCATTGAATCCAATTTCAAGTGTGATTATTTTTGTTTCATTTTTATCTGAGCTTCCATTGAACAGCGGTATTTTAACTTTTTTTCATCAAGGGATAATTTCCGTATTTCTAAGATTAATTCAATTGGTTTTTGTGTTGCTCTCAAGGCTAGAGCTAATGGTCTACAGTCCTGTGTGATTATCATACGTATTCTCCGGGACCTTTGTCAGCGAGTTCCAACTTGGTCTGATTTTCCAAGCTGGGTAAGTAGTATGTAACTGGATGGTGTCAAAAATGAACATTTAGGAAATACTTTTGCAGTGTTTACAGTCTCATACTTAACTTTATTTTCATTTCCTAAATATAGTTTCCTCTTCTGGTGAAAAAACCTGGAGGTCTTAGGGTTTTTAATCTTCAGTAAGAATTTAATATTTAAAAAACTATACTTAAATATTTATTTCTTTTTTGCATTTTCCTTTTTCTGCTGGTCTCACAGTGACAGTAGTTATTAATTGGCTTTTATATAACAGCAGTACAAAGACTAAAAATGAGCTGTTAATCTCCCTTTGCAGGGTTCTGTTGACATTTTTCTTTGAAATAATGGGTAAGGTTAGGAATTTTAAAAATTCAGATATATACATTATTAAGAAATCCTATAATAAAGAGCTAATATGCTAATTAGACCGGATGGCGGAATGACCTTCCAGGGTGACCTTCTGGAATGACCAGTGGGCGGGGCTGCGAGGCAGCCGGGGCTGCTGCGAGGGCCGAGCCCCTTGCACAAGCGTCATGCATTGGGCCTCTAGTAATGTATGTAATGGTAGGACAGTTATGTAATGCAGAAAGGCACAAAATAGGAAGCGATTAAGGCAGGTTAAATCTTAACAGTTTGTTGTGATTTCTTCCAGGGATAAAGGACATGCATATACATCACATACGTTTTTATTTTTATATATGTACAAGTATCTCTTTGATATGTGAACCTCTTTGGTTCCTGAGTAGAATAAATTGAGATAGAGAGGGAGTCATTCAAAAATATAATTGAACCCTTTGATTCCACAGTTGGATTGGATTTGTGAGAGTTGAATAGCCAGGGTTACCTTAAGTCAGTCTCCCCCCGACCCCTCTCCCTCCCTCCCTCCCTCCCTCTCTCTCACAGGAGTGATCATAATATTTTCATTATTTGCAGCATGCTTACAAAATACATCTTGGAGTTTTTGAGAAGGGCACCTCATTCTCTGTGTTGACTACATGGTATTCCCTTTGTATGGCCATGCCATATTTTATTTAACTGGTATCTATTTAGTGGACATTTGGGTTTGTAGTGTTTTGCTATTAAATGTTCATTTTGTCAAAGTTTTGTTAAGTACTATACACGTGATAAATTACTAGGGCTTGAATTCCAAGGTGAAAGGACATGTGCTAAAACTTCCAAAAGTGGTGGTTTCCTTCATACACTCACTAACTGTGGGATGTTATCATACTTATCCTATCTAATAATAGACAAACATGGTAATTGACCATACCTTCGCTACGCCTCCCATTGGCTAATCGGCACAATATGCAAATTAACCGCCAACAAAGATGGCGGCTAATTTGCATACTGCCGGCAGGGCAGGACAGCGTGAGTGCGAGCCGCCATCCAGTACCCCATGTGCGACCCCAGAAGCCGCCTGCCTGCCGCCTGTGATCGGATCTGATCCCGGGTCGCAGGCTGGCCCCAGAAGCCCCAGAAGTCGCCTGCCTGCTGCCCGTGATGGATCCGATCCTGGGTCGCAACGCAGGCCAGCCCCAGAAGCCCCAGAAGCCACCTGATATGGCAGTAACTCTATCAGTAAGCACTCTGAAAGTCAGTGGCATAAATGCACCAATTAAAAGACAGATTATGA